CGTCGTTAATGTGCGTACGTTATATGCATATGCGACGTACTCGTTATCGCGCGCGACACACGTGGTAATTCACGATTTTATCTCGCGTAACGTCATTATGCGTCGTATTCGTCGACGAGCGACATCGCGCATTGACGAGGGATTTCTTCGTGAGAAAACATCGAAAGATGGATGCGGCGCATACATATGCAAAAAAAGAACATAGAGCAAATTCGAGGATAATTTAATATTTCATATTTTCCGGTCCGATTAATCTTTCTGTAGCGACTCGCCGTAAAATCGCCACGATTTATCGATATTATTTTTTTAATTTTATTAACGATTAAGCGTTAATTTAAAAAAATAATAAATAATAAATCATACGAAATTTTCTTATCAGGATGAATTTTAATGACTATTTTCTTCAGTATCTCGACAATATTTTTTTTTAATAAACACACCTGATAATTCTGAGAAAAAAATGCATACATCCGTGTTTCCGCGCGTCTTCTATTTCGCGTTCGCGAAACTCTCTCTCTCTCTCTCTCTCTTGGTGTGGGCCGGCCTCGAGAGTTTCTATGATCGTCATTACGCCTCCAAGGCGCTCACTCGTTGGCCCTGGATCGACTATAGAATCTACCGTTTCTATAGTATAAGAGAGAGAGAGAAAGAGGAAGATAGAGAGAGAGAGAAAGATAATGCGAGCTGGTTTGATAGCAAAAGAGAGACAGTAGAAATAAACTATTCTGTCTGTCGAAGGAGCACGTGTACAAAACAGCGGCCAATTATCGCGCACGCACAATGCGTTACCAAGGTTCACGAATCCTAATCGCGTATCTTTTCAAAGACGTTTTGCTTATATTTTTAAAGGGACGAGAGACAGAAAGAGAGCGAGAGGAAAAGAGGGAAAACCACCCTTTTCGGAGTCTGAATCGCGTCGTATGATAATGCGACACGTGCGTGTTTCCGAGATACTTTCCCTTGAGATACACCGTTATTCTCGAGATTATACCGTCACTCTCTTTATTTTCTGGAAAGAAATCCGTACTATCCGGAGATGTAAGTCTAAATATGGCGAGCAAGATTTTCGGAGATTGAAGGAACGATGTATATATATATATGTATATAGAGTGAGAGAGAAACCTTTGTAGTCACTGAATGTGAAATACATATATTAAATAAAAAAACGCGTGAGAGCATCTTGTGATTCGAAGATCCAAAGGTCGAGGATTTTGTAATTTGGGAATCGAGGAGCGATAAATCATCCTCTCGCGAAGCAATTTTCGTATGCAAATTATCTTTTGTCGTATTATGCATTTTTTTTAATACCATTGGACCTATAAAGTTATACCGTCACTGTGTTGAGGCTGTGGACGCAAAATCGAAATATGAGTCAGCGCAACCTCAATTTTCAAAAATAAAAAATTAACAGTGCAATAATAATGAGTTAATTTATATGAACTTTTTTTATCTCTCGTAAATTAAAAATTTTGAACTCGTTGCGTTGGGCAGGAATTTAAAACTTTTTGTGGGGGGCACATACAAAAAGTTTAAAATTCCTGCCCAATAATAATAACCTTTTATATCACACAAATTAAAATTTTTTGAGTTTGTTGCATTGGGCAGGAATTTAAAATTTTTTGTATTACACGTGCAGGCAAAGTGGCACTTTGTGTGCGTGTGTTCTATGCGGAAAGCGACCGATTTCCCACGTCGCCATATAGCGGCGACGCGGTGAGTGAATAAGCCGCATTCAAAGCCATTGCCTACGGCTGAGCCGCGTTCAAAGTCATTGTCCACGGCTAAAGCCGTGGGCAATACATTGCCCACGGCTATTCCCGCACCGTGCCGCCGCAAGATGGCGGTTGAGTTTGTTATATTGCTGAGTCGACGTGCCCCCTTACAAAAATTTTAAATTCCTGCCCAAGGAGTTCGAAAATTTTTAATTTCCAGGATATGAAAGCTCATTATTATATATATATGCGCTATTGATTTTTTTTTTATTTTTGAAAAATTGGGAGCCAACTCAACAGGATGGTCCCGCCGAGATGATTCCGCGGTAAAGGTCGGATGCCTTCTTCTGTCGTCGGTAGCGAGGATTCCCGCGCTTCTCCGAGGGCCCCGGCTAAGGTTATACTTTGCTCTAGGAGTGCATTAACCCCTCGCGTCAGATCGCGAGAGCATACCGTAGTCGAAGAAGCGCAGAAGAACCGTCGCGGGCGCGAGATGGGTCGGTCAAAGAAGGGGACTGGGAAGTGTAGGAAAGAAGGGGGCGAGGGAAGCGTCCGTATAGTTTCTGGTCGTCAAGTGCGATGGCGAGCACTTTTACAGCGCGAGTTCTAGAGAGGAAACCGCCGAAGGGGGCCGCGGCCGGACTTTCTCCGGAGAGCGAAAGTGAGAGGGCCCTCCGGGAATCGCGCGTTCGTTCCCCTGACTGTTCGTGATCTAGGGGGGATATTCGTGCTTTCACCGTGCCCCGTGCCCACGAGATGCACTTTTCCGCGACGCAGAAGGCGAAGGCGCGCATGCGCGATTTCGCGAGCGGAAAAATATGATTTTAAAGAGTAATTATAATGGAGCAACGGCCGCGCGCGAGGAAGCGACGAGGAAATGCAAGAGATATTCCGCGTTGAATCTTAGGGATGCGCTCCTCCCGTGCCCTCCGGCTCTCTTTCGAGGAGGGGAACGAAAATTGTGGAGTTGCATGAGACGCAATTATGGAAGAATAGCGGTGTAACGCGGTGCGCGCACTATAGTCGACGTGTCATCTCGACGCCATTCTTGGCAATAATGCTCGCGTGTGTAAACACGTAAAAGTTGAATGAACCTTAAATACATACTGCTACATGAAATAGAGCTTTTATATATAGAGTCGGATTTATCGATAGCTCGAACGTTTATTTCACTGAAAAATTTAGTGAATTCGAATAAGTGTTTATTTCAATACTGCCGAATAAATTATTTATTTGAAACTAATATTGATTTTATGTGAAAAATATTTATTTGTTTCGAAATAAATGATTCATTAGGCAGTATTGAAATACATATTTATTTTAATAATTTTTATTTCATACAAGAATGAACTGTCAAAAACAGCTGTTTTTGACATATTGAATTCGAATAAATATTTATTTCAATACTCCCGAATAAATTATTTATTTGAAACTAATATTGATTTTATGTGAAAAATATTTATTTGTTTCGAAATAAATGATTGATTAGGCAGTATTGAAATACATATTTATTTTAATAATTTTTTTATTTCATACAAGAATGAACTGTCAAAAACAGCTGTTTTTGACATATTGAATTCGAATAAATATGTATTTCAATACTCCCGAATAAATCATTTATTTGAAACTAATAATATTGATTTTATGTGAAAAATATTTATTTGTTTCAAAATAAATGATTCATTAGGCAGTATTGAAATACATATTTATTTTAATAATTTTTATTTCATACACGAATGAACTGTCAAAAACAGCTGTTTTTGACGTATTGAATTCGAATAAATATTTATTACAATACTCCCGAATAAATCATTTATTTGAAACTAATAATACTGATTTGATGTGAAAAATATGTATTTGATATATAAGAAAACATTTTTTAAGGTAACAAGATAAATATTTAATTCTATTGACAAAAATTATCCGCTTAAATTAAAAATAGACTTTTATTATATCTTTTTGTATCTTATGAGGTTCATTTTATGAAAATCTTCAAATTTGTAATTCCTGTGTATAAACAAACTCAAAAATTGTTGCAACCTTGATATTTTTGTCACGAAAAGATTTGACCCTGTGTTGATTCAAATCGTGGACAAAAGGTGGAAAGGAAAAAATTTATATCTATAATATATGTTAATCTCGATGTTTCTCTCCGACCATGAAACAACCAGTATCCTTCTCGGATTGGCCTTTAGTATTTGCGTTCGAGAGAAAGTGCGCCTTGCTTAGGACAAGTCCCGCGTGCACTTAACACATATATACAACCCATACATTTATATATTCAGTAATTCATTACATGCTATTATCTCAAGTTTCACTGCATATCAGTTTTACATAATTTTCTTCCTATAGAGAAGCATTATCATAGCTGCAATATGCGATAAAAAGAATCAAAAACAAAAATCCATACATTATAATTATACAAATCACTCTTACACCTATATCGTAACTACAAAAAAATCTCGCAAAAATAAAAATCGGCAATAATTTCAACTCTTGTCAAGCTTATTCGAAAGAAAGTTCGTAAAAAATCCCGGAACCACAATTCGCAATCGCGTGAAATTAATTCGAAAAAAATCCTCTCCCTCTCGCTATAATAATAACTAATTACTAACAAAGACTTTTGCCGGGCTAATCATCTACGTCACGTCATTTTCACGCGGACGCCGACCCGACATTCATCTCCTATACGGTACCGTAATTCAACCATCAAGACTTTCTTATTCCTCACAACACGCATTCCGCTTCATTCGTGGGAGGGAGGGAGTAGTCCAGTAAAATTAGACTTTGACTCCAAAAAAATTATAATCAAGCTGAATTTTTGTGGAAACCTTTATTTCGATGTTTTAATGGAATCCAGAAAAGTACTCTTAATTTTAGCCAGGACGTTTTTTATGGAGAGTAAAAGGAGGTAAATTTGAGTTTTTTTTTTGCCATTATCTCGAAAACTATCAATTTTTCGAGAAAAATAGGTATTATCAAAATTGTAGCTCATAAAATTCCCTATAAAAAAGGTCATTATATTTTTTTTCGTGGTATTAATCGTTTCGAAAATATAGAGCGAATTAAGTGTGAAAGAAAATGTGCACTTTACTATAATATATTATATAGTATATGACTAACAATAAGAGGTGCAGAAAAATTATATTAGAAATATTGCAACTTTACCGCACGTTTTACTCAAAAACGATTAGTCGTACGAAAAAAAGTATAACGATCTTTTTTGTAGAGAATTTTATGAGCTACAATTTTGATAATAACTATTTTTCTCGAAAAATTGATAGTTTCCGAGATAATGGCAAAATTTACCCTCCCATAAAAAACGCCTTGGCTGAAATGAAAAGGGTACTTTTCAGGATTTCATTAGAGCATCGAAATAAAGGTCTCCGCAACAATTCAGCTTGATTATAATTTTTTAGAAGTTTTGTCCTTTTAAAGTCTAATTCAGAAGGGAAAAACCAGTCCCTCGTCGCGGTGCGTGAGTTAGTCACGGTGGAACGGCGCGACGCCGGACAATCGCGAATTAACTTTCTTCGCCGCCGCCGCCTTCGACTTCCTCGTTCGATGCTCGCGCGGATTAGAGCGGATTCTATCGGCTCCTACTCCGAAGCCGCTTACCGTATAACTGCTTCTGTATACGTATCCGACACGCGCGCGCCCGAAGGCCGTGTCTCTCGGTTATATAGACGGACTCTTCCTCCTCTTTCTTCTTTTTTTCATCTCGACGTTTTTTTATTCCTCCTTTTCCAGACTCTCCTAGGAGTCCTTATTACATCCGCGTCGCGAGAAAGTCCAGCCTTGACGTCCTCCAGGGATTTGATTTCCTCCTATAATTTCAGGGGCGCGATATATTCTCTTTGACGCATAATCGCGTAATAATAGAGTGCGTCTAATAGGTATACATATTTTGTCTTTGTTATTGAAAATTCATTGTAGCGGGAGGAAACGTGGTCCATGAAGTTGGTACCCCAAAATGCGAATTTTTGCAACCACGCAAAAAAATTAAAAATAAAAAAAATGAGCACTTTTAGATGCATAAAATTTATTCTTTCTTTTATTAATTTTAATTTTTTTTTTTTGGAAGGTGGAAAAAATGATTATCTAAGGATAAATGTGGATGATCGAATGCCACATGAATTTTGTAAAAATTCGCATTTTGGGATTCCAACTTCACAGATCTGAGGAAACGGTGTGGATGAAAGAGAGAAACTTCAAATTTTATCATTTTTTTTTAAATTTTATTATTTAACAATTTTTATTATTTAAAATATTACAATCTCTTTCTCTCTGTCTTTTTTTACCGTGAAATATTCACTCGTACACCGAAAAAATTGTATTCTAAGCGCCAAGAGGATTCTCTGGATTTAAGAAATTTCTCTAAATTTTAGTATTATATATTTTTTTCTGAAAATAAGAATATCATCTTAAATTAAGAGGATCCTTGGCACTTAGAATACAATTTTTTCATCATTTTCTTTCACACTTAATTCGCTCTATATTTTCGAAACGATTAATTGCACGAAAAAAAGTATAATGACCTTTTTTATAGGGAATTTTATGAGCTACAATTTTGATAATACCTATTTTTCTCGAAAAATTGATAGTTTTCGAGATAATGGCAAAAAAAAAAAACTCAAATTTACCTCCTTTTGTAAGCTATTTCGTCAAAAGGAATAAATAACGGATGATAGATGACGGGAAAACGGTTGTTGGATCGGCTGTGTATACGCAATTGGATGCACGTGCCGGATGAACGGCCCTTAAGGCGATAGTCAATTGATTTTGACGATTATAGCGACTTGTTCTCCCCTCAGCAGCATCTGCGGCACGTGTCTCTCCAAGGTCTCCGTCTTTCGCTCCTTTCTTCTCACCATCGTCTTAGGGGTTCCGCTTTCTGCCTCTTCCACCTTGACTGCATCAGCGCCTGAATCAAAAAAATGCAATGTCGAGTCCTCGAGATACGTACTTCCTTCTTTTAACTCGAGAAATTCAATACGCGCGAGTAAATCTAGGCTAGTTAATTAGTTAAAAGTTAATTTAGGATGTATTAATTTTTTAACTTCAACTAGTTATTTTTTACCCTAAACTTATTAATTTTTTTCCCAAGTTAAATTTTTTCATCTCTGAATACCATTATTGTTTTTTTATAAGTTATAAACGTATTATTTTTTAATTAAAGTATTATTAATTTTTATGTTCATTTGTCATCAATTGTTAATAATTACCAAGAATATATTTCTATGTAAAAATCAAAATTTATTTGTTATTTGTTAAATAAATTAACAAACAAAATTCTAATTTAATATAAATAATATTTTTAAAAATTAAGTTTTGATTTAACTGAGTAAATTTTTTGTTCATAAAACTTTTAACTTAACTTAGTTTTAAAAAATCATCAACTTACCCAACCCTGAGTAAATGCGAATAATTCTTGTCAGTTTGTTCGAAAAGATAACGATAAACTAATGCATTTTCTGTCAAATTCCAATCGTTTATTGTATGATAAAAATGTTTATTATTTCATTTAATGTCATTAGAAGCTCATATAATTTTCTGTCAGCGTTTTGCAAGAGTGTGTATTTTTAGGTCCCTGATAAAGTCCTAATAATAGAAATTGGTTTTCTGATATTAAAAAAAAACATTTTTAATCTCAATAACAGGTCTCACTTTAATATACTTTTTATTTAAACATAATTCGAAACTCAGCTCTCGAATAAACGAGTTCGCAAATTGCTCGAGAGCAATTTTTAATGAAATCCTAGATTTTTAATATACTTTATCAATAAGAGACACGGTAGTTAGGGTATCATATTACATCGATATATTAAATATACACTGTAAAAAAAGTTTGTAAAATTACATTAAAAATATGTAAAATTACATAATAAATAATGAAAAGGTAAACAAGGTTTCTATTATTTATTGTATAATTTTACACTTATTATTTATGTAATTTTACATATTTTTGTGTAATATATTACATATTTTTTTACAAGTGTATATATATTTTTGTAGTACATAAAGTTAAGAAAATTAAGAAAAACAAAATAAAATAAAAACTAGATATTAACCGGAAATGTCGCGGAGCTGTCGCGTGGAAAAAAAGTCCAAGAAGGGAAATGTCACTGAGGTCACGGAAAAAGTCTGTTTATATGCCAGCACGTGTCCGCAGAAGTGTGCGCCGACCCGGGGCTGCGGGAGGAAACGGAAGGAAGGGTCGGGAAGGAGAGCCTGCCGACAGGACACGTGTACATCGATCCTGTAGGCTGTTGTCCAAGGTCGTCCCTCTTCCACCCTCCCGGCCGGCTTATAATGCGTATCAACGACCTCGCGACCCCTATCGCGATACGTCCCGAAGTACGTCAGTAGGCCAACCAGCCCTAAACTCCGGCGTGCCGAAAGGGAGGAAAGTGTGTGTATAAACGCGCGCCAGGGCGCCGCTTTTCGTACAAACGTCACGACGGGAGAAAAGAGTTCAGGACCCTGTGTGTGTCCACGTGCTGTCACGCGTTGCTAAGCAACGCGTCGCGTCGCGTCGCGTCGCCGCGCAATTTCTTCATTTAACTTGTCCCCGGGGTATATGGTTTGTTTAAATTATTGTAAGCAAAGGAAATTAATGAATTTTTGCCCCTTAAAACGGAGGTATCGCCGAGTCCTCTCTAGATCTAATTAAGCAGAGATTACGAAACTTGTGATGATTTTACTCGCGGAGGAATGTTTCTTTAATTATATGGGTCTAATCAAATATATGCGGTTAAAAGAGAATTTTCTTACATTTTTTTTACGCGTGAAAGATCTCGTTATATATTAATATACACTGACAAAAATTGTTAACCCGACTAAATTATTATTTTGTTGATTTTGAGTATATATTAGTATTTAAGTCAAATATAATCGTTTTGTTAGATTTAATGAAATATTTTTAGATGTTTAATTAACAAGATAATATTTTGTTGAAAGGTTTAGTCAAGTTAACAAAATTTTTTTCAGTGTAGAACACAAAATTACTGCTGGTCTATTAAGAGGATTTAAAGATAGACATTTTATTGGAAGTATAATGCAAGTGTGTTTTTGAAAATAATTTTTAAATAAAAATTTGTTACATTATTATTTTGTTAATTGAACATATATTAGTATTCAAGTCAAATATAATCGTTAGATTTAATGTTATATTTCATTTAAATATTTCTATACGTTTAATTAACAAGATAATATTTAGCTCAATTTTTTTTCAGATATATATGATATATATATTGTTCTCGAAGAAATTAATTCTGTTTATTCTCCCATCTTGTTGGAAAAACAATCGTTATAATCCCATGTATGGCGAATAGAAAGTATTATATCATCACATTTGCGTCCGATAAACAAGATCGATGCGTAATATCGCGTTCGAATTTCTATCGAAGCAATTTTGTCAAATGAATCTTTCCTCCAGACATTCTTTCGTCGATGTAATCATTGCTCGATCGTTCGATCAAATTGAATATGTGGAGTTAGCCCCCATTTTTTTAATTTAAAAAAATTATTTTTATTTTATTTTATTTTAAAAAATTATATTTATTTTATTTGGAATTTCTTTGATTTAACTGCACTGAAAAAAAATATTTGTCTAAAATTGAAATAAAATTCTAATAAAGTACAAATACTAAATTTAAAGTTACAAATGATTTTTGCATAAAATACAGCGATAAGTAATTTTTCCAGTTTTGAACAAGTATAATTTCTATGTAAAAGTGCATGGATTTTGTCGACATTTTTTATTTAATAAGTATTGGAACACGTTCCTTGAGTAGAAAGTTGAATAGAATTTTGTCTCGAAAATATAGCTGGAATATTTTTAAGTTACAAAATTTCTCTCCGGGGGTGACACTTATGTTATTGATTTAATAATTCTCTTCATCTATGATATAAAGAGGCGTTTAATGAATTTCCGGGTAATCTTGCAGATATTAAGGTCCAGTTTCACAAAAACCTCCAGTGAAATTTTCCTTAAGTATTATTTACACTAAAAAAAAAAATTATTAAATTAACGAATATTTATTTTAATATTGTCTCATACATTCGAAACAAATAAATAATATTATTACAAATTAGTTGTCATTTATAAATAAAATTATTATAAATTAATTGTCATTCATAAATAATATTTTATCTGTTTTGAAAAGGATTTTTCTTCTGTCAAATAAATATGTATTTTTTTCACATCACATCAACATGATTAATGAACGATTTATATTTGAAAGGAGATCAAATTTCGCCGTAAATCGCGCAATATTTCGGTGCGGATGAATGAAAAGGAAGGTTGGAGGGCACGTGGAGAAAAAAAAAGGCCGAGGGAAAATTGTGGTGGCCCAGGGAAAACGTCACGGGGGAGTCGCCGTAAGAGCGAGACGGTGCGGAAGAAGTCGGCAAAAGCCGGAGAAAGAGATGTAGGAAGGAGAGAAAAGAAGCACGCACGCGAAAGAAGGCTCCTCTCTCTCTCTCCTCTTTCGCATATCGAACGAACGCGCGCGCGGCGACCACTATATAATGTAGTCAAGGTCGGTCCTTGCTCCTGCCGCGCAAAGCGGCGACCTTAGTGGGATATATTATCTCCCTTCGCGCGCGCGATACGACGACCCTTCCTTTTCTCTCTTCGCTCGGCTGCCGCCCTTTTTGCCGCGCGGTGTAAATAAAGACGAGAGCGGATCACACACGCGCGCGCGCGCGCGAACATTCCCAGAGTTCGTTAAACTCTATCGATTCGCGCGGCGAGAGGAACGGCGAGATCCCACGGATTAAAAGTGAATCAGTTTTGCCGCGATGAATAAGATTGTTATTCTTTTATTTAAAAAAAAAAAGTGACGACAAATTTTACATAGGATTAAAGGAATTAGAAATGTTGAATGAACTTTCGCGCACATAAGTGCGCACTGAAGAAAAATTGGGTAACTTGACTAAAAATAGTTTATATACAGAAATCATCTCTAATTAAATCATTTTTGCACGTTACAACTAAATATTATTTTGTTCATTGAACCTATAAAAATATTTAAATTAAATGTAATATCTAACAAAAAAGCGTATATACGTCAAAAACAGCTGTTTTTGACAGTTCATTCGTGTATTAAATAAAAATTATTAAAGTAAATGTGTATTTCAATACTGCTTAATAAATTATTTATTAATTATATTATTTTGTTATTTGAACATATAAAAATATTTTTATTTAAATTAAATATAACATTAAATCTGATAAAAAGTATATTTGACTTAAATACTAATGTATGTTCAATTAACAAAATAGTAATTTAGTTGAAAGAAAGTCAAATTAGCAATTCTTTTTTTTTTTTTTTCAGTGCATAGTACAAAAATAGTTCTCTCAGTATGTAAGACATATAAAACAAAATTTCGCTCTAAACAAGTCATGTGTTCTAAATCTTATATAAAAGTCTTGGATATAAGTATTTTTTAAAATCTAGATATAATTTGTGTACTTTGCATTTCACTCGATGACAAGATATAATTTTTTTAATTGAGCTGTTCTGTGACAAACTAAGTTTAATTGAAATAAAACTGTAGATTTTTTAAATCATTATCCTACGAATAAAAATAGAAGGAACCGTGCGATATCAATAGTAGAAATCGTATGAAGCGAATAAGGCTCGTCGCGACGAATTTGAATGCTGACCTTTCGATCGAATTGCACGCGTTTGAATCGATCAGCGATCGATAATGAATAATCCATTATTTGTCCACTTGGCAGAAAAAAGTCGCCGAATGACTTTCGCGAAACGATTTTCACAAAAAAAATTCGTTATAGTACCTATATATGTGTGTGTATAAAAAAAATTAAGTGATTCCAAAGAACCGAAGGACGAGTAATAGAATCATTCATGGATGGATTGAAAAACTGAAACCGATTTTTCGGCAAAGACGAATTTTTCAACGGGTTTTTAATTGAGGACGAAATATCGAATTTATATAAAAATATTATTCCTGATTCGCTTTCGAATTACGTGCAAATTTTGGAAGATCGTGCTTAAAAGCACGAAGGATGGATCGTTGGTTCGAAATATGCGTATTAAGAAGAATGACTATTTCTCGAGGCCTAACAAATAATACAAACAGAAACCGGTGAGGTTTTAAATTATAATTTAGAGTTGAAGCAACTTTCATCAATTAGTACAATCCTGATCTGATGATAAATTGCGTCTACGTCATTTTATATTGACGGGACCAGGTGGCAGGCGAATGGCGAAACAAACTAATTGTAAGAGATAAGTTTGCGAATTTCAAACTCTCTGTTGTGCGCAAATTGTTGGAATGAAAAAAAAAATATACGATTGACACGTGTATATTTATTCTAATATGTTACTTTTAATTTCACTACAAACATCACACATATATACACATAGATACATTTTATGTTGATTAAAGTTTTACATTATCAGATCGATGCCAAAAATTCGTCATGTGTCAAACACATCAATATTTTTTATATAAGAGAAATTTTTTGATTCCTAAAAAAAAAATAAAAAATTTTATTTTTGGACAAAAAATTTGCACGAATTTAATATATATCAAGTATTTAAAAAATGGAGGAATTGTTGAAATATTTATTATACAACAAAAATTCGTGTGCAAATATCTAATATTAATTTTTCAAGAAATTCGAATGCGATATCATACTGCATGATAAATTAGAAAGGCGTGACGTTGAAGATTCTTCAGGTGGAATTTTTCAGCATTGCCTGTCGTCGTATGAATTTTTTCGTAGGGTCGTCCCGTTTGCGCTCCGAATCGCGCCGCGGCATCGGAAATGTCAGAAAGTTACGGGGCTCACTTTTTATCGTATCCAACTCGATTAACATCTCGATCTCTCGCGTACGCCTCGTCACATTATATCGCTGCAAAAACTTGCAAGCGTGCGAGGATAATCGATCGGCCGACTCTTTTCCGAGTCTGACACTTGCGATTTTTTTCTACACACAGATCGCGCACGCAACAGCATTCGCATCTGCGCGTTTTTATACATCGAGAGCGATTATTATATGTTGCGGGAATCTATAATTGTCGATAAGTAAAGTCGCTTATATGAATTTTAACGGCGTGGAATTTATATATACTCGTGCAAATCTTGTTCTAATGATGCAGCGACATGTTGCATTCGTGTTATTTCGAAAAAAAACCTCGCGATATATCTTTATGCTACATTTTTCTTCTTCCGAAAATTGTAAACAGATTTAACATCGAATAAAAAACATATATACGAGGTCTGTGTTTTCCCATCCTTGAAACAATGGATTAAAAAATATAATTTTTTTTACATTAATTATCAATTAAACGTGTAAAAATGCGTGTTAGATAATAATTATGAAGATTATAATCTCTCTAATCTCTCAGGGCTTGCGATCAAGTATTTGTATTTGGTTTTTTATCATTTGTTTTCTTGGATTATTCACGATAAAATCGTGAAACATATTTCATTAACATAAAATTATTAACGCATTATTAATTTCCATAATAGCTACATTAAACTGTTATAATTGTAAGATAATAAGCAGTTTGGTACGAAACAATATAACAGAAACTAGAGATGATGTCGTATTATGCTAGGCTTTTGTATAAAAACATATTTAATAATTAATCTTCATAGCCGTACATACAATATTCTGTAGTTGAAATAAAATTTATTCGAAATTATAGTATGAAAGTTATTATATTAAGTATTTTTATTTATTTTGTATATTTTAGAACTTAAGCAAAATCTTAACTTTTGTTAATTGAACATATAAAAATATTTAAATTAAATGTAATATTTAAAAAAAAAATTTTTTTAGCGTATATATGTCAAAAACAGCTGTTTTTGACAGTTCATTCGTGTATCAAATAAAAATTATTAAAGTAAATATGTATTTCAATACTGCCTAATAAATCATTTATTTTGAAACAAATAATTGATAATTAAATCTAATAAAACGTATATTTGACTTAAATACTAATATATATGTTTAATTAACAAAATAGTAATTTAGTTGAAAGGTTTAGTCAAGTTAACAAATTTTTTTGTACTCGCGCGTAATTCAATTGAATGCCTTTATAATGCGATTACGATCATTGATGGATTATTCAAGACTTTTTAATAATAAAAAAATATTCGTACCGAGAGCGGGTGCTTTCCTCTTGACTTTGCGGGACCAGACCTCGAAGCAGTCCTCCAGCGCGAGGTTCCAGTGCTTGTCGAAGGCAGCCACGTATGCCTCCACGTGTCCCCTTATGCCGCGCGCGTTCCTGGTGTAGACCTTCGGCACAAAGAATAGCCGATTATTCCTTTTATAGATCGGCGACGAGTCCCCGAGTATTACGCGCGACTTGTTTCTTCCAGGTAAAGTCGCGCACTGACGGAAAACGAGCTGGCGCGATTGACATTCTCTCTCTTTTTCTCTCTCTTCACTTTTACGCAAAGAACATTTTTTCCTAAAATTTACCCCGAAAAATTTCACTGATTAATATTTTTATCACAATAAAAAATATTAATCTCTACCACAATAATATATAAAATGTGTTCGATTAATTTTATTATTACATATTAATATTTTTTTTAGGGTAAATTTTAAGAGAAAATTATCTCCGTGTACTAAAACGAGAAAATATAGCGGAATCATTGTTTCTAGATCATATATATAGATATAGAAAATAAAAAATAAAGCGAACACGTGTCAATACTTAACATACTGATACGTAAAAAATGTCCTAAATATTTTTATGAACTGAATTTTTTGGATAATTAATGTACGTGCTCAAGACTGTACAAGAATTATTTTACAACAAATTAAATGTTCGAAATACGGCCAGCTTATCATATATTCGAAAATTCGTTAGCATATCATTGCACATTTTTCCAAAATTGAACAATGAAATTTTATAGTTTTCGACGAGTTCTATAGTTCTGTAGCATAGTTTCGACCGTAGGCTGCCACTAAATATATATTTATGGTAACCCAAAAAAACTCGAATTTTCGAATATATGATAAGTGTTGACGTTTTTTCATATTTTGAAGCCTATGCTTAAACATATTCAACATATTAATTAATTATTAATAAAGCATTTTAATAATTATTTAATTATCTAATTTTAAAGTTATTTATCTATATAAAGAGTATATTATTTCACCTTATTTTAGTATTATTATTTAATTTGTATTAATAATATATTATTTAAAAATTCATATTTTTAACAGTTATTAGCTGATTTCTGTCAAAAGATTAATGAAATTCAATTTTTATTAATTTTTTAATATCAATCTTTTTAATATAAAAGTGAAGAATGGCGCGCGCTTATGTTGTTCTAGTGAAAGTAAAAAAAAACATTTGTTTGAATTTCCTAGTACAATGATAAATTGTTTCTAACTCATGAAATTCAATATATATCATCTAGAGGTCAGTGATATATGATTGTATGAATCATGAATGTCACGTGAATGAATCTCCGCAACACAATCGTAACGTTGTTTTTCTTTTTTTTTCAATGCAACTTTTTGCGGAAATCTGTATGTGCGATGCAGTATTTATGCAAGCTGTCGTAGGTCGCGAGTCGGCCGATTTTTTTTCATGTCACACTTCCATATCAAATATGTCACGTATTTTATTAAACTTCCGTATGACTAACTAATGATATGCGTATTGCAGATATAATTAATTACTTTTTCCCATAATTTATAATTATTTATATTAATAATATTATTAGTAAATTTATATAAAATCGTACACTGAAAAAAATTATTAAATTAATAAATATTTATTTCAATACTGTTTAATCAATCATTTATTTGAAACAAATATTTATCTCTTTTGAACAGGATTTTCTTGTATCAAATAAATATTTTTCATATTAAATCAATATTATTAGTTTCAAATAAATGATTGATTAGGCAGTATTGAAATTAATATTTATTCAAATTCAATAAAAATTTTTTTCAGCGTACATACGCGCGCGCGTCAAAAACAGCTGTTTTTGACAGTTCATTCGTGTATCAAATAAAAATTATTAAAGTAAATACGTATATTTCAATACTGTCTAATAAATCATTTATTTTGAAACAAATAAATATTTTTCACATGAAATCAATATTAGGTACTAATAGTTTCAAATAAATGATTTATTCGGCAGTATTGAAATCAAGTTTAATTCAGTATCCTAACTTTTAATTGTCAACATTTTGTCGATCTAACTTGGAATTCGGATTGTGTCATGCTCGAAAATCGAGAAATCGAGAATCATAATTTGACAGCTAGTATTTAATGCAATATTATGGATGGCAGATGCAGTAATAAGGCATCGCGGCGTATGATTGTCGAGGACTTGTCGTGTTACGTATCGCTTGTCGGATAGATACGACCGCGAGAGACAGCAAGATAGCGGACTGATACGCGGAAGTGCAAGTCCGACTTGAGACAAGGCCCCCTTCAATGCCTTTCGTAGATGTATATGTATATATATGTACGGCGGGCTTTGTCGCAATGAAAACCAATTGCGAGTCTCACGGACTTATGTGTCATCGCGAGCCATTGAATGAATGCCGTCGACATCTGCGAATTAGCCGGGATCCCAGAACTCGCATCCTCAAGACCGCCAACGAGGAGTTCCGATCCTTGTTAAGAATTTGCGCGTTACAGATCTTTCCACGTGACGTTTTTTTTTATGCGATCAATAAATGAAGTAACGAAGCTATTTCGCTGATTCACTCTTGTATATGATTTAAAATTTTTTTCTATTAAATTTTTTCGTTAAATTTTTAATAAAAAAATATTTATACATGGAAATATCTTGTAATAATCGTCAATCGTGGATCTAATAAATCGTACAAAGTGCAGATCGGAAAACTTGTCATTGCTTCGGAACTGCAACAATTTTGCGCGCTCGATGTGTCAGGATTTTCTTGACCGTGGATCCAAGGATTTCGTCGCGATCGAAAGATTACGGCAATGAGAGATATCGAAGGCGATTCAGATATATCGATATATGCGAGACGTGGATTTCGGAATTAGACCGGAAAGCTTCGAAAGTGATGGAAAATAAAAGTCGAATTAATTTTTCATGGATTCGATTAAATTTTAAATTCTCTCGCGATTCTGTCAAAAATCCTACAATATCCTAATTATCGATGACTGACTGAGATAACGATTTACTTCCCGAAATAAAGATAATCGTTATGTCATGTATAGAAGCACAAATAAGCCGTTAGATGTAAATTTATTTTTTCTTGCCAACGAACATAATATTCTATGTGAGAATAATAAATCTCGAGGACATTAATCATTCAATTGTTTAATCAACATAATCGAACGTCGCGTTATTTTATTCCAACGCGCACACTTCCACTCCGTCCGTGACGAGACGAGTTCGAATGACTTAATGATTAGAAAAAAAAGAATAACAATTGCGCGCTTTTACTCGGCGGCAATTTGAACAGTCGAAGGCCGAGCGATCGATCTAAGGCTAAAGATAAAAATCTTCTTTCCGGATGCGCTCGAAGGTCGCGCGAAAGATTAGGATCTATCGGCGAGGACGGCGATATTTGAAAAAAAAATTCTTCGACGATGTCGCCGACGTCACGTCGAAAGTTGCGATAATTGCTATTAATTTAGGTTCGGTTTCGTTCGCGGAAGAAGGCTAATCGGAAACTCCATTCTCCTCGTTGAAGATATCCGATGCGAAGCGGCGCTTCCGCAGGAAGAGAGTCCAATTAAATCAATTTGACTTTTATTTTCCATTACGCCGTCTCGTTGTCCTATTATTAGTCGGCCTTAAGACCGAGGCGGCAATCATTAAGCGTGCAGCGCCGCGGGAAATCATCGCGGGCGCGATTAGATAAGTATGATGATGATTTATCAGCGTGCGCATCACACGCGGCCGCGATTTTACAACTTTCCACAGCTATGCGCCTTCGCTTCCGGATTGATCGTGCAATCTCGCGAAGACATTGATTCTGAATCTATATCATCGAATACAAGATCAGAAGATTATCTACACTGAACAAACATCTTTTAACTTCACCGAACCTTTCAACTAAATTGCTATCTTGTTCATTAAAAATATATCAGTATTAGTAAGTCAAATATACGTTTTATTAGATTTAATTATGCATTATTTGTTTCAAAATAAATGATTTATTAGGCAGTATTGAAATACATATTTACTTTAATAATTTTTATTTGATACTCGAATGAACTGTCAAAAACAGCTGTTTTTGACGTATATACGCTGAAAAAAAAATTTATTTAATTCGAATAAATATTTATTTTAATACTGCCAAATGAATCATTTATTTGAAACTAATAATATTTATTTGATATGAAAAATATTTATTTTATATAAGAAAATCCTTTTTAAAACAAATAAATATTGATTTGTTTTAAATAAATGATTCATTCGGCAGTATTGAACTAAATATGTATTAATTGATTTTTTAAGTAATTTTTTTTTCAGCGTGTAAAAATTATTTTGTCTAAATATCGATCTTGAACATTCACAATTTTACAAAAAATATTATTGTAATCATAAAATATTAATGAAGAGAAATCGTATTAAGCTGCAAAAAAAAAAACACACTTGCAGCTTCGAAATCATCTCGATGGAAACGAAATGCGTACAGTGGAAAATAAAAGCACCGATTAATTTTTTTCCAGAGTGTTTCTAAAGAAGTTAAAACTTTTTTCGAAATTATACGAATCAATAAATTTGGAAAAAAATATACTCGAGCTTCGAATTGCATTCTCTTAAGAAGGTCAACCGTACACGTGCTTTAAGAAATTTTAGGGCAGCAGTGCGACCCTTTTCGCGGCCGCGACGTCGTCTCGCGTGGAAATCGTTTGTCGCACGACGGCGATATGTCAGGGACATAAGTAGAGGCGGCGAGGACGCCCGTTCGGTCGCCATGGTTACGAGTGTTGACCCGAGGGCTGTTTCCCTCCTCAGTCGGAGTCGCGGTTCTCCGGCGAAGGGAGGATCTCGTCGCCCTTTCGACACCCACGCGAAGGGTTCGCGTACGTGTCACTCGGCTGCGAAAGTGTGTCAGCCGTGTACTTATATGCGTGCACGCACAATGCCAGGAATCGAGGGGGATGGATAAGAAGCGATGGCAACGACCGTTTTTAGGTTCGCTCTTTCGTTTCTGATATCCCTAATGATGCAAATTAGGGAAGGAGCGTTTTTCATTTAAAGATTGTGACAAAAACTATCGATTTCGAAAAATCACTGTTTAAAAAATTCTCTTTTTCTTAAAATAAGAAGAAGATTCTTCATTTAAATAACGGGATTATATTACTGAAAAATATCGCATACATATGATATAAACGTTTTTGTCTTGAAGATATGTTTGAATTTTTTACGAATGATTGTGAATATAAATGATCATTTAAGAAAGATCAATCGATGCGACCTACCCTAATCTTGATTCTCTTTTCCATGCATCCGTAAAGCATTCCTAACGGACCGTGGGTCTTTTGCATTTTTGAGAGTACATTCTTCGGTTCACGTCTTTTAGCGGGCACTGGTTCTGTAAACAGGAAAATTAATTTATTTTAATTGAATTATTAAAACTCGAAGAAAAAAATGTGTATAGAAAACCTATTTAATTTCGCAAAAATTTATATGTATGATTAAGATCAATTTCATATGCATGATTAAGGTCAACGAGTAACCTAGAAAATAAGCAAAGAATTTCTTCACTTTTGAGTTGACTTCGGAATATCGAATTTTAAAGTCAGTATCTTGATCTTAAAATATGCAAATATATATATTTCATGATATCAAATTTAATTATTTAATTATGAATTGCAAATTGCAATTTTCAATACATAAATAAAAACGGAAGAAATCATTTAATATTAAATACCGCTAGTAATATAATATGCCATTCGTAATAATTAAAATAATAACAGTAAATTAATTAATCGAGAGCGCAATTTATCTCATATTTTTACATGTATATTAATAATATACATTAAAAACATATATATGAGTTTCAATAGATGTTTTAATGTGCGGGTGGGAATAATATAAAGCAAAGTACACTATTTCTCGCCTTTGAGTCTCTTTATATATATTATATAATTTTTTTCTTTATATATATATATATTTTTATATTATATATATATATTAATAATAATAAATATAATAACAACTGTACTATACTATAAGCTGTATCATATTTGAAAAACGCCGAAGTTCCGAGCCGGCCAGATTACGCCGATGAACTTTTATGAACCTCTATATAACACCGCGCTAATAAGAATTTATGCGGCTATCTCGTGTCTCGCGGACTCGCTCGACAAATCATCGTTCATCGCTCGAGAAACGGAGAGCCGATAGCATCGCGTTCGCGTCGTTTGTTCTTTCGGTTCTTGTTCCCTTTTTCTTGCCATGACGATGAGACTTTACGCGGCCACGAGAGAGCTTCATTAACCCCCGCTGTTGCATCCGCGTATTTATGTACTTATATGCGGTGATTCGAAACTTTTCTTTCTCGTTGACGTAAATTGACAAGTGCAATTAGAATTTTACTCTGTATCGAAAGCAATAATAGTTTCAACTAACAAGTTTCTTGTTTCAATTTTTTTAATTGTTTTATATATATTGCTATATATGTTTCTCACATGTTAATAATTATTTGATATATTTTTCTGCTTTTGCAAAATTAAAATATATTAGTAGTAAATTTCTTCTTCACCGTTCAATTTTCCAAATATAAAAATTCAAAAACAAATTCATTACGATTTAATCTGAAGAACTGTTCTTATTCATTTAATATCTCTGATAATTATATATATGAGAAAATTTTATATATATATATATTTTTTTTTATAATATATTAATGAGAAGGATCATTCTCAGAGATAATAAACAAAAAACACTAATTCTTTTGCCAGAACTATTTTTAAAATTAATAGAGAACTCTGGAACTCTTCGGGGTGCACTCGAAACTTAAAAAAAAAATTAGTTTTATGAAAAATGAGGTGCCAACTTCACAGAGGCATCTGGGGGATCCGGGGTTCGATGAAGCCGAGCCTGAGACGTCGTCAGACGCGCGCAAAGTTACGTAAAAGCCTCGGCGAGTGCACTTATTTTCTCTGTGTGTGCGCGAGTGCGCGCTCGCGCGCGCGAGACGCTCGAGATCAGGCACGCGAGAGAGGCACGCAGGAGCGGGATGCATAGAGCGAGATCGACGGTGCCAATTGGCTTTCTCCGATAAACTTTCATACCACCTTAAAGGCCGCCTCGCTCCGCTTCTTTTCCACCTTTCTTTGTTTCTTTCCGCGTGCACTTTCACTATTGCCGCGATCCAATTGCACCGCCGCGGTCGCGCGGAGAGAACGCTGAGAAGCGTCTCGCCTCTCGGTGTTTCACGCTCGTAATTAAGTCGCGAACGACGATTATTTCCCGATCAACATTTGACAAAAAATAATACAGGTTCTTCCGAGATCTGCAGATATGAATATTCCACGATTATTCTTTGCAAAGAAAACTTGCATATTTGCATATTAAATTTACATATTTAATATAAAAAATGAAAATAAAACAAAATAAAAAGAATTTAATTATAAGAAAGAGCAAAAAAATAATTATGCCTTTTTCTGGAAAAAATCCAGTGAACGCCCATGTTAAACTATATTAGACGAAAAAAAAAATGCAATTTACCGCTATAAACGGGGAGGAGTTACGTTTTTTTTTCATTTGTAATAGAAATAAATCAGACTTTATCTCGGAGAGAAAAAGAATCGGAAAAAAGAGACGGAGGAATATAAGCGCGCAATCGTGTCTACCTTCGACCTTCCGGCCGTTTTTCCTCCTTTCTTACGCGAGAGCTCTTCTTCGCGCTCCGATCTTCGTTCGCGCAGAAGATAGCGTCCGGAGAGCGTTCACGTTTGCGTGAACCGCGTGCAGGGAACCGTTAGGATCGCAACCGCGCGCGGTTGCGAGGGGAGGAACGCGAAACGGTGACTTTATCGTCCCTTCCCTGGGCAGGGTGAGCCACGTAGGTGTCCGTCGTGTAGGTTCCGTACCTCTTGCTTCGTTCGTTAACCCCTTAAGACGACGCGATACTCCGGCTAGCTTAAATGCATATATTATATACATAATATGTATATATATATATATATATATATATATATATATATATATTTATACACATATATTAGGAATATTATATATATATATATATTTTATAAATTTTATATATAAGCTCTTATATATATGCATATAATTTTTTTTACATTGAATGTTTGATCGCGATTAGAAGAGAAAATAAGTTTGAGAAATTCTGAATCTGAGAAACACGTTTAAGGTAAATCTCGTTTGAATTTTATTTTAAAAAACAAGATTTATTTATTTTTTTTTTTTTTTAGACATGTGTTACACATAATAAATGATATACACATAATAAATTATATATTCGCTGATTTATCCCATTTTATTTTTAAATTGACCAAATTAACTTATTTGATTATACATTCTTGACTTTACCAATAATTCATTTGTTCAATATTGTGGAAATAATTTCTGAAATGGAGAAATCTGATTTTAAAGCTGGATCGTGTAACGATTTCATAATTATAAAATATTGTCAAAAATAAAAAATCTTTATATTATTCAAAATGAGCATACATTTATTATAAAACTTAATGTATCGAAAATTGAACCGCATAATATTTATATCTCGCGAAAAAGTGTCGCGAGGTCGTTGTTCAGATTCGCAAACTCGCGATTACAAAGATACTCTCGTCCTCGTAATATCGATTTTGAAAGAAGTGGACCTTCGCGCGATTCGTCCAAACGAGAACGAAGGTCTGCCACTTTCAAAATCGTTTATTATTGATTTTGCGCAAAGTTTTCACAATAAACGCAACCTTCGCGAAATGTCACCGCGTCACTCGTAACATCAGCAATTAATATTGGATATTAATGATTTGCGAAATGTATAAGGACGGTATCCTTCCTGTTTGCATCCGATTTACATTGTTATCTGTTACTTTGAAAGGAGACACATCGTTATTGGTATTCAAATTACGCAAACACGTCCATGATACATGTTTTTTGGCGAGCCTTGCACGAATCGTATAGTTTGCGATCGCAGTTTGCAATGCACCTTCAAGTCGAGCGAAATCCAATTTAAACCGGATTATTTTAAAATCGTCGGAAAAGATTTTCAAACACTAGGAAAATTGGAAACTATCAACAGCTGTCAATAATTACCACAATTTCCCATCATATACAAACGAGGTAAATAATTTATTCGATTTGTCATTTTTATTGACGTTTCAATATTAAATGTTATATTTAGACAAAATGTCGATAAAATGTCGAAAATATATAAGATGACAATATTAAAGTGCTTCAAGATAATATTTTATTTTCGTAGAAAATCTTTCGAGTTTTGTTTGAAATTATTTGACGCGAGTGCAAGACAGGAATATAATGTGGCTTCAAAATTTCTATATTATTAATTAATATTATTTTACTATTGATTAAATTAGTTTTACGAAGAAAGTGATATTATAATTTAGATTAATTAAAAAGCATCGTTGATTAAATTAAGATTTTTTTTCGCGGAGTGCAAAGAATACCAGTTTAAAAAAAGTTTGGTGAAAAACGCTGCGTCTGCAGTTTATTAAATTTTTTCGCGACTAAACCGAACGAGGAATGAAGAGAAAAGAGGTGATTTCGCGAAATCAAGTTTTAGAGATGCAATTGGATAGTCTTGGCTTTATTTCGAGAGAAGTTTAATAAAGATGAAATTATACAAATATATATATATATATATATACCTCAAGGTATATTTTAGTGTAGAAATTTGGCTAATTGCACAAGAGAATTCAATTAAGCTTTGGCACAAGAAATACATACACATTATTTCAATTAACATACGTAGACTTTTCTCTTTTATCGAATATACGTTATAGGACAGATTCTCTCTCTCTCTCGGTCATCTCTCGATCACAAAAAAAAAAAAACCGCGAACATCTGTCTCGCGTGTTGTTCACCTGCGAAAAATGTTAGCGCGATGCGTGCGAAGGAGCAATTCGGCTACCAAAGTCGCTTCGGGTCCGGAGAGTAACCTGGGTCGCAGGTGGATACCTGGACGGATATCTCCCACTCCGAAATATCGCGGGAAGATTGGCGGACGCGGGAGAGCGGGCTTGTACCCGCGGATGATCCCCAGGTTGAGTCGCGCTGGGTTCAATGTCCTGTCGGGCAGCGCACCCGAGAAGAGCCGTGGTAGGCAGGCAGGCGAGCAGCCACCAGACCTCTCGCGTATATATACACGTATATACGTACACGTTTCCGCGAGATCGCACACGCTCGCGCGCGCTCCGCCGTTGCGTATATATACGCTCGTTCGCGAATGTACGGGGTGTCCATTATACACGCATCTCGCGAGAAGGCCCGTTTCGCCGCGATAAAGGAAAAATGCAGCCTGTGACGTCAGTATCTGGGCTCGATGGCGAAAAAAAAAATTAAGAATTTATATTGCTCGCCTTTTGAACGAACGCCAGAATT